AAGACCAATGCAGTCAGAAGCATTGGTGGTATAGTGGTGAGCATAGCTGCCTTCCAATGTAGTCAGAAAATAGGATTTAAAAAATCCTACCTCGTTCACTTCCTGTGTCATCTTGGACAAGGTACCAAACCTCTCTGTGCCTCTGTTTTCCCATCCCTGTAAAATAGACACAATAATAACCCACAAAGCTGTTCCTCTGTTAATGAGGAAATGAGTTGATATTTTTAAGCACTAGGATCAGTGTCTGGCCCATAGTAAATGCTCTAGAAGTAGCATTTAATGACCCGGAATTATTATTAAACCAACTTCACAGATGAAGAATTGAGGTCCACAGGGATTGGCCCACCATCGTTCAGGGAACGGAAGAGCCTAAATTTGTTTAGCATTTTAAAAATTAATTCCAGCTTAATTTAAATAAAGTGCACACATTTTAAGGGCACGCCTACCTATGTGTACACTCGTGATCAGAATAAGGGCATTCCCAACACCAGAAGGCTCGCTGGGGTCTCCCCTCCGTCAACACCTCCCCCCGCAAGTTGAGTGCTATTCTGATTTTTCACCGAAGATATTCTGCCTGTTTTGAACTTCATCCAAATGGAGACATACAGTCAGTTTCTTTTATTATCCGCAGTCTGATTTTGAAGCCCAGATGGTCCCACCCTAGAAACTGCCATCTTAACCATTATCCTATACTGTACTGTCTTTTAAAGCCACGACTCCTTAGGGTGTTCTCGTTCTCCCCCTCGTTCCTTTTCCTTGCTCCTTTTTCAACTCTGCCCAAAACGAAGCTGTCCATCGAGCCATTGGCGAATTCTAATTGGTCAGTTCTGCGTTAGGAGGCCCCGCACAGCCCACCCCCGCTAGGGGAGGTCCCTCTGCCAGGAAGCACATGATAGGGCACATGTGTCAAGAGCTGGGCCAATGGGAGGAGAGCATGTTCTAAACCGGCCACCCATCCACCAATGGGAGCGCGTTGTTCCTGTCCTCTTCAGCTGCCCCAGCCGAGCTGCCTCTGCCTCGTGCCTTTGCAGTTTGACACCTTCCTTGTGTCCTAAAAGAAGGTCCCCTCAAAGCTGCCTAAGAGATGCAGGATGGCGGGCCCCAACTCCCTGCACCCCCCCTGGGCCTTCTGCACCCCTCCCCTCCCTGGAGTGGATGGGAAGGGAGACTTTCCCAGACAAAAATAACATATACGTAAAAATGTATGTTTTCAGGGATTCTGTTTTTTCTTGTTTTGTTTTTTTTCTTTGTTAATGGGATAATGCCTTGGTTTTTCTTTTTCTTTTTCAGAAAGTATTTTTAAATTTCAAATATCTTTACAATTTGAACACCCTCTTTCCTTTTTCCGAGTTCTGGGTGCTGATGAGAATCACCAGCCTCCCTCTGTAGCCTCCACCTTGCCCCTCAGAGGTGAGAACCTAGGAGAAGGGAGAGGTGTAGGCGGGCAGAGGATGGGATGGGGTGGAGTTAATAAAAAGGAGCAGGCACATCCTTAGGGTTGAAGGATGAAGAGAAGAAATTTTAAAGTGTGAGATGGATTGGGAGGTGTAGACCAGCTCCAGGGATTACAGGGAAAATGAATGAAATTGTTGGAATGGGTTGATAAAAAAAAAAAAAAAGGATGTTCAACTGTCCTGGATGGGGGATATTTAGGCTGCAATAAAGATCCCAAAGAGGGCCGCATGGATGGCTCAGTCAGTGAAGCATCTGCCTTGGGTTGAGGTCATGATCTCCCAGTCCTGGGGTCCTGGGATTGAGCCCCACCTTGGGCTTCCTGCTCAGCAGGGAGTCTGCTTCTTCCTCTCCCTCTGCTCCCCCTCCCCCTGCTCATGCTCGCTCTCTCTCCCTCTCAAATAAATAAAATCTGTTTTTAAAAAATCCCAAAGAGATTAGGGAAGAACAATGCTTGATGGCTTACAGATGGGTGGATCCCATGGGCCATTGGGTTATCAGGGTGAAGGGAGTCTCTGGGTCTGAGGGACACTGTGCATTCTCATGCTCACCTTTTCTCACCTTCTCTACCCCAGACAGGCATGACCCTACTCTTTGTACTGGGCTGCATTTTCTTCCCACTGAGCTTCACTGTCCTCTGCTGGGGCCTGCAGAACCACTCCAACCTGCGGATGGAGAGAGCAGAGGCTGTTTTGGTGGCGTCCAAGTAAGAAGACAGGGTGAGGGCATCCTTCCTGGGCCAGGCCTGGTGGAGAATGAGCTCCTGCTTTCAGGAAGTTAGTGGTGAGAGGGAAGCAGTGTGTGTGTGTGTGTGTGTGTGTGTGCGCGCGCGCACGCGCGCACGCACGTGCACGCACAAGCAGGGGGAAATTAAGAGTCAAAAGAAACTGGCTATGGGATCTTTTGCAAGTCATTTAACCTCTCTGAACTTCAGAGCACCCCCCACCACTTGTAAATGGGTTTACTAAGAACACCCACCTTCCGGTCTTCATGGAGACCTCGTGTGAGGATCAGGTAAATTCATGTCTGTGAAATAGGGGTGGCCGACTCCTGCAAGGAACAGGGCTGTAGGCTCTGTGGAGGATCACTGGTGAGCTGGAGGACTCAACATTCAGCCCATCAAATCGGGTAACAGCTGCTTGGCCCCAGCCCAGCATTATGGAGCTAGAACATGGGCTCCATGTTGTCTGACCTTCTGATTCTTTCTTAAAAGAAGTTGAGCTTTGATGTGAAATCTCCTAATTTGCAAACACTGACAAGTAAGTTAGAATTTAAGAAAATACTATCCTGGCAACACCATACTGGCTGAAGAAAGCATGTTTGTGGGCTGGATTGGGCCCTTCTGCTGCCAATTTATGACCTGTTTGACACAGCTTAATACATGTGTGAGCTATCTTGGAAACTTAGGTAGGAGAGGGAGCAGGCAGAAGGCAGAATTTACTTGGGTGTCTAGGTGAATTCCTGGAAGACAGAACAGTGTGTCTGCCTGCTGTAATTCACGTCGTCCAGAGAGAAGCCACGACTTGACCAGGTTTGTAGTCCTGAAGCAAGTAGTCACATTACGGTGCTCTACCATCGCCCATCCTCCCCCCAAACTCAGCTTCGCTCTTTGGCTTTGGAGCTATCCAGTTTTGCCAGTTCTCACAGCTGTGTTATCTTGGGCAAGTTTTTTGTCTTTTTTTTTTTTTTTCCTTAAATCTCTGAACCCATTTCTTTCTTTCTTTTTTTTTTTTTTTTAAGATTTTATTTATTTATTTGAGAGAGAGAGAATGAGAGACAGAGAGCACGAGAGGGAGGAGGGTCAGAGGGAGAAGCAGACTCCCTGCTGAGCAGGGAGCCCGATGCGGGACTCGATCCAGGGACTCCAGGATCATGACCTGAGCTGAAGGCAGTCGCTTAACCAACTGAGCCACCCAGGCGCCCTCTGAACCCATTTCTTGTCTATAAAACAAATATTGACCATCTGGGAAGATTAAATAAGAATGAACATAAACCACCTTGCCTCATGCCCAGCACGTAGTAAACACTCAAGAAGTTGGGTCCTCTTCCCCCTTAGGGTTAGGGTTAGCCTTGGGGTCAAGAAGCTAGGTGCACTATTGTCCTTAAATTGTCCCTAACTCCTGCCAAAGGCCGGAGACCTCTCAGGCTGTTCCTCCCGTTTGCCACTAGAGGGCAGCACAAAATTGCAAATCCAGCCCTTTGCCTCTCTTTTGGGGAGGAAATGGAATGGTCTTTGGACAGGCAAAGACAAATTGTGGGGTTGCTTATTGAGGTGTACCTTAGGGTAGGCCTGGAAACCAAAGTACGGTTTGGGTACAGGCCCCACGTCATGCAGAAGCCCAGAGGACAGTGGGGTTCAGGACAGGAAGGCCAAATTCCAGGAAGGCAGCACGAAAGGGTGAGCAGCGGCTCAGAGGCCGGCGGGGTTCCAGCTGGGCCTCGGACATGCAGTGTGACCCTGGCCAAGTCACTGTGCTTTAGTTTCTTCGCAGGTGAATGAGGGGTTTGAACCAGCTAATCCCTGGGGTCCTTTCCCACTGGGGAAGGACCTTTCCCACTGTTGTTCTGTGAAGCCCTCGGGGAAGGGGAGCCAAGAAGATAATAGACCTGAAGAAAAAGAAAGTGACCAGTGCTTAGGGGAGGCCAGGAGAGGCCAGGTAGCCTGAGGGACAGGGCGGGAGCATCCTCCCCTTCCTGGTGGGTTTTCAGAGAGGCAGGGTTTCCTCACCCTCTTCAAACCCGGCAGCCACTCTGATACCCAGCATGGGAGGTCTCCTGCCTCTTCTAACTATGTGACCTTGGGGAGGGCCACCGAAGGCTTCAGGACCATTCCTTGCCCCGTAAGAATGCGACAAGTGCCTTTACCTCCGTGCTATTACAGTTGGTAGACAAGATCACCGGAGAGCCTTGCAGCGAAGACTCGATCTAAAGGCCCCTCACCTACACCTTATAGTTTTCCCCCTTCCCATTGGAGTGAAGGATACGGGGCGGGGGGGGGGGGGGTCTCTGAGCCTGCAGGAGGCTGTGTTAAGTTGTTCTTATTCTCATCCAGTCCTTAAACTCATCCTTCAGAGACAGCAAGATGCACAACTTTGTCTCATTCCCTCCCCAAAGGAATCCTTTTCCTCTCTGCTGGACTGGCGCCCCTAAACTGGGACCCCAGCAGGCCACTGAGGGGCAAGCATTGGGAGGCACTGGCAGAGGAAGAAATGGCAGGCATTTGCAATGTGTTGGTGGTAAACAGGGTCAAGCCCCCATCTGGGGGCTCAGAGCCCCCTCCCAGCTGGCCAGGGAGCCCAGGGCCACCTTCCTCCCCAAGAGGAGAGCCCCACACTCCCTTGGCCCATGTCCCCAGCAGCCCCCTGTGCCGCAGCTGCTGTCTCTTTAAGGGCCTCCCCCTCCCTCTTTCTCTGCTCCCCCCCATCTCTGTCGCAGCCGCTGCTGTGGCTCAGAGCTGCATGGGGAGACGCTGCTGCAGGTCCGGTTTCTTGGTGTCTGGTCGGTGCCATCATTCCCCACCCCTCCCCCGCCCTCCCCAAGCTGGTGACTCCCCCTCCCCCTCCCCCTCTCCACCGAGGGGGCAGGGGGCTGGGCAGGAACTCTCTATAATGCCCCGCGCAGCCTCCAGGCCGGGCGGTGGGGACCGTGGCGGCAGCGAGAGGCGGGAGAGCCGAGTTGACCGCTGACCACTTGCCGGGCCGCTCCTCTTGTCTCCCTCCCTCCCTCCCCCCTCCCTCCCTCTCCCCCTCCCTCTCAGGGCTGGCACCACAGTCCCACCCCGCCTTCTCGGGTCCTCCCAGCCTCTCCACGTAAGCCCCCCCTCCCCACCTGCCTCTCCTCTCCCTCCCCTCCCCCACCCGCATCCTCCTCCTCCGGTACCCTTTCCCTCTCTGTCCTCTTATCAAGTCCTCTCCTCCTGTCTCGCTTCCAGCCCTCTGGCCAGCTTCCTCCCGCTCCCTTTCCCGGATCCTCCCTCTACCCAGTCTCTCCCCATTTCCCTAGTCTCATCTAACTCCCTTTTTCCCTTCCTCTGGTCTGACTCGCCTGCCCCATCCCGTCCCCGCCCTGTCCCCTTTGTGCCCCTTTTTCTTTTTCTCTCTCCCTCCCTGGCTTGGTGTCCCTTCTCCACCTCTAACTCCCTTCAGCTCGGCCTCCCTGTCCCCTTGCGGCCGCCAGCCTCCCTGCCCAAGGCCTGAGCCACCATGCTGACCCCAATGGTGGCTGGGGGGGTGGTGTTCCCCGGACTCTTTCTCCTCTCCAAGAACACGCTCCAGCGACTGCCCCAGCTGCGCTGGGAGGAGGCTGACGCGGTCATTGTCTCAGCCAGGTAAACTGCATCCCTTCCCCTGGCCCCTCTTCCCTTCTCAGGCATTATGGGGGTGGAAGGGACCCTAGTCCTTCCCTCGACCCTTGGCCCATTAGGGACTGGTGGTTCCTGAAGTGGTTGGTGGGCTTTACCTACAAGCTGCCTGCCCCCCTCACTGCCTTACTCACTGTCCCAGGAGACCTCGTCCAGACCCAGCCATCTGGTCTACTAGTATCCAGACTGCTTTTCTTTCCTCTCCCCCATTCACCCTCCCACCCTCCAAAACAGGACCAGCATGTGACTAAAACATTCCTATAAGATATGAGGGGCAAGGGGCAGAGAGCTGTGTATTAGTCAGGGCACATGTTTGGGGGTACAAGGGACAGAGGAGTGAATGGTAGAACTCTGTACAAGCTAGAATGAGGGCCAGAGTTGGGGAGGGAAGCATGGGGACAGTCAAAGAGTGAGCAGGAAAGTGGCCAGGGGAATTCAGGGTCACCGAGGAGTGCCTGGTGACTGGGTGGCTGAGCGCTGTGAGAACAGGCCGGGGGCACCCCCTTGCCATCCAGTGCTGTCCCTGTGCGGCTCCTCCCAGGGAAGAGACCTTGTTATCAGCATTGTCTCACCTCAAGATGACCTCCCTTGTGTCCTCCTGAGGCCACTCAGTGTCCACGACTGACCAAGGGAAGGAAGCTGGCAGGGAGGAGTGGGGTGCACTGAGAAGTAGCAGCGGGAAGTCCTGGAGCCTGGGGTGGGGGGCGAGCCCCGGGCAAGCCGGCCTCAGGCAGAGACGGGCAGAGAGTGGCTCGAGGCGCAGTAACTGGACAGTAAAGAGGAGAAACTGAGGGCTGTGTCTCCTTCCTCTACCTCTGGTCCCTCTTTCTCCCTAGGCTAGTGTCCTCTGTCCAAGCCGTCATGGCCTCCACCGCCGGCTACATCGTCTCCACCTCCTGCAAGCACATCATTGATGACCAGTAAGTGCCACGAGACCACCTTGGCCCAAGTTCCCGCAGCCCGTGTGCGTGTGTGACTCCCGAGGACCCCAGGTCTTCCAGGGGACTCCTTCAGTGGTCCCCAAACCCTTCACTTGGGACTGAGCAAGTTAACTGCATTAGCTGCAACTCAACACCCAGGAATAAATTTATCCATGTCCTGTCCTTTAAGGTCAGAGCCAGGGGGAAAAGGAGTGGGGATCAAAAAGGATTGTCAGAGTGGCTCCTAGGCTTCCTGGCCGCTCATATCATAGTAGGTCCTGTGTGCCCTTTCCTCCCCACTTCCTCCCTCCCTTACATCCCTCAGACCCCCTTTCTAACCAGCACCCAACTGGGGTGCCTCCCTCCTCATGCCAGGCTCACCCCTCTGCTCCTCCCCGAGTGCAGGTGTCCAGTCCCAGCTCTGTGCGCAAGAGGGAGACAGGAGAGAGATGACAGAGACAAGGCCACTAACGGTTGGGCCGTGGGGGGGGTGCGGGTGGGGGAGGGGAAGGGTGAAGAGGCCAGAAGGTGGCACTGGCAACTGCCGCAGTGCCTGGTGCTTGCCAAAAAAGCCCAGGCCTTCGATGTGGGGCCGGAGGAGGCAGGAGAGGGGCCCTGTCCGTGGTGCTGACGGGCCAGCTCCAGGTGACCCGCGGGCTGCTGCCGAATGGCCCGGCAGGGTGCTGAAGACGCCCCGCGCTTAACTTCCGGCTCTGACCCCCTTCTCTGGAGACCGTTGGGCCGCAGGAACATTGTCTGGAGGACCCTGGCCTGGCGGCGCCCCTCTTTCTCTACAGATGAGTTCCCCTATCTGTGGAGTGGGGTACATCCCTTCCTGGAAGGGCTACCCTGAGGAGGCATTGAGCTGCGGGAGTCAAATGCCTAAAGCAGTTCTGGCTCTTGTACAGTGGGTGCTTAACTCTTTCTTCAGATCCCATTTGGTAACTTGGCTTCCTCTTCCCCTCTGCCCTTCTGCTCCACCCCTGGGTCTAAGATGAGCCTGGATTCCCAGGCATCTCTTGCTCTCATCTTTTCACACAGAGGTCACCTTTCCACTCTTACATTTCCTCCCCCCCCCCACGCCCACCCCCAGGTCTGTTCTTATCCCTTCCCCTGTAATCCTCAGGTGGGTGGGGAAATATCAGGGTTAATCCAGGGACAACAGCTGTTCCTACTCCTGAGCACCTAACTGCTGAGAGTGTGCGGACGGTTTTAACTCTTCAAGTTAAACCAGGACTAGTCCCCCCACAAGCCACATGGCTCCTGGGGCTGGCTCTCCCAGCCACTCCTGCTCCAACTCCACTTGGGCCAGTCGGACCCCTTTCCACCAGGGCTCTCCCTGCTTGTCTAACCTGGTTGCTGCTCCCTCTCCTCTCTCCCTTTCTCCAAGCTCCAGCATGGGTCTCGGGTTCTCTTTGCCCCAAATCATCCCTGCTGGAGTGGGCTGCCTGTCCCCTTGTAGGCAGTCTTCCTAGGGTTTGCATTCTGTCTCCATCTCACCCGATCCTTCGCTGGCCTCCCCGTTCCCCGCCCCAGGCCCTCATTCCTCTTCTCCCTTGGGCAGCTCCGCATATAGGGTCTCAGCTCCTTTTCTTCATTACTCCGGCTGACTTTGCTTTCATCCCTCCACCTAGCTGGGCCAGTTCCCTGACCTCGCACTCCCACCTCAGACCTGCCACGGGGCTACAGCATTTAAGAGAAAGTGCTCAACGTGCTGAGTCAAGAAGAAAAATGCAATGTTGCATATTCATGTGCTTTTCATTTTTGTTTACTCTCAAAGTACAAGGAACTTTCTCTGTTCTTGACTCCTTTTGCTCAGCGTTTTCTCCTTAATGCTTGGCTGTACCTGAAAAACAACAACAACAACAAGAGGTTGGGCCGTGTTCAGGTAGAACAAGCAGCGCTAACGGCACCACCAAGTCCCCAGTGAGGCTTGTCTGTGACACCTGTCTTGAATCTTCTAGGGACAGTGGAGCCAGACTTCCCATGGTTGGTTATTCCTTGGCCAAGTCACCTAGTCTCTCAGTTTCCTCATCTGTAAAGCGGGGGTGGTAACCATCCCCACTTTGTATAGGGTTTCTGCGGGGAGTGAATAAGTTTATGCATGTAAACGATTTTGGATATTAGAACAGTGCCTGCGTGTCAGTGGATGTCAGCAATACGATCGTTCTCCACTGCTCTTGCCTCTTCTGCTGTTATTGTCCTAACCTCAGCTGTCTCTCAGATCATGCCTGAGCTTGCTTTCTCTGTCACTGCCCTGTGGTCTGTGGCTGTCCTTTGGTGTCTTTTCCCTACCTCACCTCTCCCCATATTGCAGAGAGAGAGAGAATATGAATGAATGAATGAATGAATGAATGAATGAATGAATGAATGAATGAGTATGAAAAATGGGTGGGTTCTGAGGTCAGACAGTCTGGATTTGATTCCCAGCACCCTTACCTACCAGCGTTGTGACCGTCCCACCTTGGGCCAGTTTCTTGCCTCTACCCCTGGGTTCCATCACGGACCTCGAGAGTCCACTTCCGTCTCAGGGTTGTTGTGAATATCACTTGCTCCGGTGGCACGTCCAGTGCCGACCCTGGCACCTGGTCACTGCTCTGTCCATCTCCTTCCCTCTCTGATGCCCCCCTCTCTCTCTGCCCAACAGACACTGGCTTTCCTCTGCCTACACGCAATTTGCAGTGCCCTACTTCATCTATGACATCTACGCCATGTTCCTCTGTCACTGGCACAAACACCAGGTCAAGGGGCACGGAGGGGACGAAGGGGGGGCCAGAGCCCCGGGCAGCATCTGGGCCGTGGCGCGCGGCTACCTGCACAAGGAGTTCCTCATGGTGCTCCACCACGCCGTCATGGTGCTCGTCTGCTTCCCACTGTCGGTGGTGAGTCGGGGTGCCGAAAGCCAGGGCCTCCTGTCCTGCTCACGCCAGCGCCGCAGGAGCCCGGGGAGCCCTGTGGTCGGGTCCCCCAGGGGCAGGGCAGGCCCAGGATGGAGAGTTCCTGCAGAGGGTTTTCTGAGCACCAGGCCAGCCCCAAACAGCGAGAGGGTCTGGGCGCAGCCTGGCCCGGGCTGGATATACCCGGCCGTGGTGCCTGGGAGCTGTGGTTGCAGGTCTCTGAGCCTCAGTTTCCTCGGCTGTAACATAAGGTATAGAGGCTCCCGCGCGGGATGGTTGGAGGGATACGGTGACGTCATGCTCGCAGCTTGGCCGCTGTATACTAGAGGTGTTCAGACCTTCCGAGCTGAGCCTCTCCAACAGTGGCCGCAGAGAAGAGAGGGAGGGAGGCCAGGGAGAGGCCAGGCTAGTTCTCCCTGTCCTCCGCAGGTGTGGCGTCAGGGCAAGGGCGATTTCTTCCTAGGCTGCTTGCTGATGGCTGAGGTCAGCACCCCCTTCGTCTGCCTTGGCAAGATCCTCATCCAGGTGAGAGGGGGCCGGAGGCTGTGCGGGCCAGAAGGCAGGGCATTTCAGGGACCTTCAGGGATTCTTTAGCGGGCCGGGCCCGGGTCAGGGGAGGCGGGGCGCAGGGGCCCGCGGAGGGGAGGGGGCTCGGAGCTGCCCGCCCCCCCCCGCTCTGCGCCCCGCCCCCTGCCCTCTGACCGCCCCGCCCACCCACCGCAGTACAAGCGACAGCACACTCTGCTGCACAAGGTGAACGGGGCCCTGATGCTGGTCAGCTTCCTCTGCTGCCGGGTGCTGCTCTTCCCCTACCTGTACTGGGCCTACGGGCGCCACGCCGGCCTACCGCTGCTCGCCGTGCCCCTCGCCATCCCGGCCCACGTCAACCTGGGCGCCGCGCTGCTCCTGGCCCCCCAGCTCTACTGGTTCTTCCTCATCTGCCGCGGGGCCTGCCGCCTCTTCCGGCCGCGGGGCTCCACGCCGCCCTCTCCTTGTCAGACCCAGGACTGAGGGTGGGGCCGGGGGACCCTCCACCCCCCCACCCCATTCCTTGGGGACGGGGCTCTGGGGCTGCCCGGCAGGAGGTGGGAGCCAGGGCCCTCTTGCCCTGGCGGCCCCAGGACCGACAACAGGTGCACTGCAAAGGGGCGGGACATCTCTGCTCCCGGGCTGAGGGGCGGGGAGCCGGTGAAAGGCGGGGGGGGGGCCTCTTCTCCCAGCAGTGCCTGAGCTGAAGGTAGCGAACCCCTTCCTGCGCACCCCTTCTCCCATCACCAACCCTGGGGCCCTGGGGATGCAAAGGACAGAGGAAGGGGGCATCACTTCCCATCCACTGAGGGCTAGACGGCCATGGGGAAACTGACTCAAGGGGACCAGGACTCCGAGGATGTGGGGGAGGCCCTGCTGCCAAGGCCATCCCAGCCCTGTCCCCCTGCTGCAGACTCCCCTCGGTTCCGCACCATCTGAGAGGGAGGGGATACCCTAACTAACCCTCCCCCCCCCCCGCCCCCGCAGGCCTTGCTTGGGGCTAGCTGCCTCCACTGCTCCTCTCTCTCAGGGAGGCCAGCCTGAGGGATCTTATTTATTTTATTTATTCGCCCAAATCCATACTAGTCTGTGGGGGTGGGGGGAGGGAGGTGGCTGCTACCCCCAACCTTCCCAGTGCTGAGCAATCCCGGGGGCAGGTGAGGGGGCACCCCGTCCCTTCCCCACTAGGCTGCACATCTTGCCCTCGGGCCCCGGCATGTCCCTGGTGCTACAGACCTCTCAAGGCTTCCTCCAGTCTGGGGTCAGGGGACCCTGGGAGGTGCTTTCCAGACCGCTAATAAAGACGATCTGATCTGCGTGAACGCCACCAAGGCCCTCTTCACCCAGTTCTTTGGTGCGGGGAAGGGTGGGGGTCTGGGGGTAGAAAGCACAGATGGCCCCAGGACCCCAGGATGGGGCAGGACCTCCTGCCTGGCTATCCGAGCAGTCAGGCAAGAAAAAAGCAGACTTTTATTCCTCAGCAGGAGAGGAGGGCGGGTTTGGGCACTCAGGGCAGAGTCCAGGGCCCTTGTCCGGCTCCTCAGGCCCCTTTCTGGTAGCTCCTATGGGATATGAGATCAGAAGTGGGAGGCCACACCCTGCCTCCCTAGGCTTTTGGGTCCTTCAGCCTCTCCTAAGGCAGGCTGAGGTGGGAGGGGCCCGGGAAAGGGGGGCCTTACATGTGTGTGCAGAACTGGTAAAGGAGGAAGAGGAAGGCTACTACCAGAGCGCCCACCAGGATGTGATGGAAGAACTCGGAGTTGGATCCTGTTAGACAAGGAGGGGAAGATTGGGATCCTGCCTCCTCTCCAATGGAAGGGCCAAGGGCAGCTCTTCTCCAGGCCCTGGCAAGGAAGGAGGCCCCTTCTCAAGTGGGTTCATACCTGAGTTAACAAAGATGACAGGTTTCTCTCCAATAAACTGGGCCACAGCCAGGAGCCTGGCTTGGTCTGAGTCTGGGTAATCAAAGAAGTCGGGTCTGTCTATGAAGAGCAGAGACCCTGCTCCCCGGACCGAGGTGCTGGCCCGCTCCCGGCTGGGTGCTAGGGAGCAAAGTCTATGTCAAGAATCAAGCAGACCCCTGCCCTCTACCCCAGGAGGCTGTGGCTGACCCAGGACCCTGCCAGGCCACACAGCCTTAGTGTGGCTGGGAAGGGGTTTGATTTTGTTCCAGGAACATCTTAAGGATCAACTGAGATCTCCATGCGAAGGCCCCTGCTGGATGTGGGGCGGGGGGGGAGGGGGGGGGGCGGGGAGAGACGGGCAGGGAGAGGCAGGCCCTTGCTTGGCCTCCCAGCTCCTAAGGCAGATTGACCCTTCACCCCAAGACTTCTCCTCCCCACCGCTGCCAGGACAGCTTCCCACCTGTTTCTATGGCCCCCAGCCCAACCAGCCACACCCATGCCCACGCCCACTGCCACAGCCTCATGACCCTTCCACTCCTGTGACAGGGGTGGGGGCTCTGTGATGTCACAGCCTTGGGCCGTTCTGAGCATAAGCTCTGGGGTGAGGGGAGAGAGAAAGTGCTGGGGGCTGGGAACTTCCCCCCAAGTCCCCACATCAGAAGAGGACACTTTGGGACCACCCCCTCGTCTCCCCCAGGGCCTTCATCCTTTGATTGGGGTGATGTCAATGATAAAACAGTAATAGGGGCAGCCCCAACATTTAGAAATAGGAAGGACTTGGGGGCAAGCTTGCTGGAAGCTGGGACTAAGGAGAGCTGCCTTTGTAGAGCAACACGGTCTTTCCTGGGGTGGGGGGCAGGGAGAAACACCTCCAGTTACCCCCGGAATCCACTCTCTGCATGGCCTCCCTTACCCATCACAGCTAGCCTGTCCTCATTACACAGACAAGGGAACCAAGGCGCAGAGGGGCAAAGTAATGTGGGCGACGCACACTTCCCAGGGCTGTGCATTTTCCTCTCTGAGGCTCCCCCCTGCTTTGGGTCCCCAAATTCAAGGGTCCCCAAATTCACGACCCTTAGTGCTCAGCTGAGGACGACCCTGGGGTTGGGAGCCGGGAGAAATAACAGGCGTTTCCCACTAGGTGGCAGCAGTGCTCACGAGTGCCTGTTTCCCTCCCACCCGCGAGGGCACCGCTCCCGCTCCTCCAAGCCCTCCTCCCGCCTCTTCCCGCAGGTGCTGCAGGAAAAGGTACCGCTGCGGGAACGGCAGGCACGGGGATTGTCAGAGGAAAGGCCCCGCCCATCTCGAGGCCTGTCTCTTGGTCACCCACAGCGCCCTCGCAGGCTCCTCTCTCCGGGTGGGCTCCCCCAAGGGCCATCCCATTTCCCATTTCCAATCCCTGCTTTTCTCTATTTGTCCCTTCCCAACGACCACTGTCAATCCTGCGGACCGCCAAGAGTTAGCTCTCCTCTGATTGGCAGGAGGGCCTGTCTATCACAGATGTGTCCCGCCCCACCCAAGCCCAAGGACAGTTCAGGGTCTTCTTGGTTTGATTACACAGATGCCTGTTCAAGAGTCTCCGGCAGTCCCGGTTCTGTGACTTCCCCCAAATCAGGCATGTGTCTGTGGCATGTTGGGAGGTCCTCTGTCCTATGATGGAGGCGCCCTCCTCCCCTGGGTCCCCACCCCTCCTCTTTCTTGCCCTCAGGGGCTACCCTCTCAAGCGTCCTCACAGTAGCCCCTGGGGAGGTCCTTGCCCTGCTCAGCTTCTATTTCCTAAACGGTAAAGCTCAGGGAGGAGAAAATGGGGGAAAAGGAGACAGACTAACATCTACGGGACCTCCTGTGGGCCCCTATCCCCTACACTTCTCTCTTCTGGGAAAGAGGAAGTGACTTAGCCGAAGTCAGGCACATGAGGAGCAGCGAGGAGTCCGGCTCCTGACCCCGGGCCAGGGTTCCCAGCCCAGGCCTGTCGGAGGCTGCTGCCACCGTTTAGCCGCGGGAAGGGGTCCAGAGCCTTTAGCCACTGGAGTGGATCTTGCCATTTCCTCACTCGCCCCAAAAGGATGCAGCTGCCCTGTCCCCCAGAAAAGGCTCCTTTGACACACGCAGTGACTTCTCATTCATTTATTCATCCAATCATTAAGTACATGCATTGAGCCCCTGCTCTGTGCCAGGCTCCATTTATGGCTTAGAGAGAAATCACCAGGGCACGGTCTCTGCCCTCAGGGATCACAGGGGAAAGAACTCTTGGATGCACATCATTATAGACAGATGACCCCTAAGGGGCTGTCTACACTTGCTGTCTCTGCTCCCTCACCTTTAACGACCTAGCTTCGTCCTCACCGCTCCACTGAAGCCACTTTTGCCAAGTCTACCAAGGACCTCTTAACTTGCCAAATCTAATGGTTACTTCTGCTCAGTCCGTCTGTCTCGCAGCAGCGCGCACATGCCCCTGCCCCTTGGCGTGGGAGCCATGCTCGCCCATTTTCAGGGTCCCCCCCTTCTCCAGCCAGCTCAGCCTTGGACCTTCTCTTTTCTGTCTATATTCTCTCTCCCTAGGTGATCTCATTCAGTCTCATGGCTTTAAATACCATCTATATGCTGGTGACTCACAAATGTATATTTCAAGCCTAGTCCTCTCCTCTGAGCTCCAGACTCCTCTACCCAGCTTCCTGCTTCGTGTCTCTTTATGTCCAAAACCATCTCCAACTCAATAGATCCCAAATGGAGCTCTTGGTTCTCCTATCCCAAACTGAGCTCCTGCTTTCCTTCGCCGCAAAGGGGTCTCACCATTCCTTGAGATGCTCTGCTCCACACAAACACCCAGGAGTCGTCCCAACGCTCTTCCTCTCTGGCTCCTGACAGAGCCGTCATCAAGACCTGTTGGCTCGATTTCCAACATAAATCTCAAATCCATCCGCCTCCCTGGCAGCTCCATTGCTGCCACTCTTTCAAGTCAACCCCATTCCTCCCCTGGTATTTCGACAGCCTGTGGACCGGGGGACTTCTCTCTGTTCACTCCTCCCTCGAGGAGAACAGAGAGAAGAACGCTCAGCCCTCCATGACTTAAAACCCCCCAATGGCTTCCCCTGGTGCCTGTGTGATTATGAACACTTTACCCTGAGCTGCAAGCCTCTTGCCCAGCCCCCTCCACCCACCCACCTCAGTTCTTAACACGGCCCCCCTCGCTCAGCACACTCCAGTCTTTGCACACACCTGTGCCTAGGACACCTTGCCCCCCACCCGTGAACTGGCTAACTTCTCCTATCTTCCGAGTCTCAGTTGAGACCACACTTGGCACAGGAGGGCAACTCCCATGGCCTTCGGATCATGCCCTATCCTATCACTGCATCGGAATTGTCTGTGTATCTGTCTCTTTCCCCTACAAGGCCCTGGAGCTAGAGATCACTGATCTTGGTCACAGACTTGCACCAAAGCATATAGTAGGTGTCCAATAAATATTTATTAGCCAAATGGATGGATAAAAACCTTTCCACAAGCCAGCGCTCAGCACTGTCTGCCATTTGCCCCGCAACTGGCTCGAGCTCCCACTTCATCCTCACCTTGCCCCAACAAGGCTTTCTGGAGCCGTGCTGCTGGGCCTGAGCTAAGCCCCCGGCAGGCAGCAGCAGAGGAGGGCAGGACTTCTTGGCCAGCTTGCTCCCCCCATTCCCCGCAGGCCCACGTCTGCCTCTTGCCAAACCCACCAGCTCTAGTCCTGGATGGGGGTCTCCCTTGATCCTGCCTCCTCTCTTATCCTGGATAGCCCCAAAGGAAACCTGACGGTTGCCTTTAAATAGGTATTATTTTAATGTATTCTTTTGAATAGGGAACAGAGGCGAATGGTACAAAATCCAAAGGGTACAAAAGCATAGAAAATAAGACTTTCCTATTCTTGCCCTACCCTACCCTCCAGCAATCTCCTCAGAGCTTGATGTAGTTACCACTTTCTTGGGCAGCCTTCCAAGGATAAGTTATGCACAAAAAAACCCCGGACACATATAAACTCCTTTCTCCCCATTCCATTCATACTGTTCTGCGCCTTACTTTTTTAGGTGAAGCTGCGATTGGGAAGACGGCTCTGTACAAGTGTGTGCATACAAGTACAAGGGCCTCTTTCTTTGTTGTGGCTGCATACTCTTTCACCGTTTGAAATTGTGTCAGAACTGATTGAACTGATCCCCTGCTCGTGGACATTTAGGTTGTTTCCTGTCTTTTGTCATTGCAAACATGCTGCATTAAAGAACCCTGAACTTTGATTATTTTGCTCATGGGCCAGCATATCTGTAGGATAAAATCCTAGAAGTAGAATCTCTGGGTCAAAGAGTCTGTGTATTTGTCATCTTGGTATCCACCATCAGAATGGCCTCCGCAGAGATGGTGCCCATTTACCCACAGCGTTGTACACATTGTGTGTTAACAGATGCTTTGAGTTTTGTCATCTGGTAGGTGATAAGTGCTATCTCAGTGTGGTTTGACTTTGCATTTCTCTCTTTTTTTAAAAAAATCGTGTATTTTAAAAAAATACACATAGTATTTCTATCTTAACCATTTGCAAACATACGGTTCAGCAGTGTTAAGTACATTCACATTATTGTGCAACCACACTTCTCTTACTTTTAAATCACAATACTTCGGGGTGCCAACTGAGGGCTAGGCCCAGCTTGAGGGAGCCTCCATGGCACTCCCTGGTGGTGGGGGAGACAGAAATGTAAACAGGGGGTAGAACGGAGCCTAAGGTAGCCCATTGGAAGCTAGGGGGTGGGGTGGGGATACTCTAGGAAGACTGCTAGGAAGAGGTGACCCAGGATGACTCCCAAAGGAAGGGAAGCTCTTCCAGGCCAGGGAGGTCCTGTGAGCAAAGGTCCAGAGGCCTCGGAGATCCAGGTGTGTTCTAGGAACCGCAAGTAACGTTCCTGCCAGACAGCCACGTTTCGGAGAAGTCATGGTCTTGGGCCGAAGGGCCTTAAAGGCCACTGTGAGGACTCTGTTTTGGGGGGACGGCGGGTTTGGGGCAAAGAAGAGCAAAGGTCCAAGGCTGGAGTCTGACAGGCAGATGGCAGGGTTTCGGGTGGGAAATGGCACACTGGTGAGGGACTGGACTGCAAGGCTCCGGGGCGTTCAGAAGGAAGCCCGACGCCCTTCCCCACCTGGCGGACAGAACTGGAGATGGCAGGGGGTGGGGTGAAGGAGGGGACCCCGGCCCTTGGGGGCTGAGTTGGGCCACAGGAGAGACGCATGAACGGCTACAGAGAAGAGGCGTGGGGAGGTGGGGGGGAAGCCACAGCCTCGGACCTGTCGCCTCCCTCAGACTGTGAGGTTCCCGGGCCCGGCTCGGAGACCCCCAGATCCCAGGCCAGCGAGAGCGGGCCGACCAGATCCCCGGCGCCTGCCCACCCCGGGGTCACTGCGGATCTCTAAGCCCCGCCCCTACGGATCTGGGGAGGGGAGGGCCCGCCAGCCTACTCCCTCCCCCCGCGCGCTCTCCGTGGGGGAGGGGTGTGAGGATGCGCGGGGGGCGGGGGGCGGGGGGAGGAGGAGCAGGCGTCGCCATGGCAACCAGGCGGGTGGTCCGGCGCCGCAGACCCGGGAGGGAGGCGAGGAGACGGCCGGGGAGGCCGGCGCCGCGGGCTCGGCGCGGGGGCAGGGGCGGGGGCCCGGGGTCTCCGGGGAGTTGGGGAACACCGGGCGGTTCTCGCCGCTGGTTCCCGGTGGCGCAGGGAGCCCGTGTGTCTGCGAGCGTGTGCCGGCGAAGTTCTCCGCGGTGGGTTAGTGCATGTGTGCGGGCGTGCGCACGTGGGCGCAGGCGTGTGCGCGGGAGTGCCCGTGGGTGTGTGTGTGTGCGTGCGTGTGGTGTGCAGTCGCGTGCGCCCCGGCCGGTGCCCGGCGGGCGCGGGCGGGAGAGTCCCGCCCCCTCCCCAGCCTCCGGCCGCCCCTCCCCGCCCCCCCGCCGCCTGCGCCGGCTGCTTCCTCGCCTCCACCTCGCTCACCCCCTCCTCCCCGCACTTTCTCCGGCTCTCCCTCCCTCCCTCTCGGCTCTCACCGCCGGACTCCGCGCTCTTCTCGCTGGCCGCCGAGGGAGTCGCCGGCCGCCACCGCCCAGCCTGTACCTGCCGCCCCCCCGCCCAGGGCTTGGGCACCTGTTGGAGGCACAGACACAGGTGCAGAGGGCTGGGCCGCCGGGGGCGTGAGGGTGCGGGAGCGCGTGTGTGGTAGCCTGTGAGCCCACGGCGTGCTTAGCTCCCTGGAGGCTGCAATTTCTGGCTCCTCTTGGAGAGCCAGTCTCAGGAGGAGGCATCCGAGGCGGGGGTCCCCCGCGGGGGGCTGCAGGGTAGGGGGGACCAGGCACGCAGGTAGGCAGGCCGATCCTGGGGCTGAATGAAGGGACAGCGGGCCATGAAAGCCTACAGGGGTGGGTGACACCCGGCCCAGACAGGCCCCTGGTGCAGAGGGACAGACAGAGCCTAGGAGAGGCAGAGGGCGCCTGCAGGGCTGCCTCAGAGGTAGGCAGGGCCCAGGGGCAGACGGCATCCCAGGATGAGGGGCAGGAGCTGGGAAGATGGCATCGGGACTGTGCGAAGGTATGTGGGCATGGCCAAGGTGGAGCCAGGCCCTATCTGGGGGAGTGGGCTGGCAGCCCAGCCCCAGTGCAGCGAAGCTGGGGGTCTGGAGGGCTCAGGCCTCCTGCCTGCCCACCAGCTGGCCCAGGCCACCCTCTCCCTCCACACCTGGGAAGGGAAGCCAGGGAGGGCCCCACCAACTGGGGAGGTTGCCGCCTGGGGCTCACGCTCTCTTGGACCTCCCTCCTGCAGCCAAGGGTGCTGCATGAGGGGCCGCAGGGGCGACCGCATGACCATCAACATCCAGGAGCACATGGCCATCAACGTGTGTCCTGGGCCCATCCGGCCCATCCGGCAGATCTCTGACTACTTCCCCCGCCGGGGACCAGGACCTGAAGGCGGGGGCAGGGATTTCAGGGAGGCCCCTGCCCGCTTGGCACCCCTGGCCCTGGCCCCGCCTGCAGCCCTCCTTGGGGCCACCACGCCCGAGGATGGAACGGAGGTGGACAGCTATGACTCGGATGATACCAGTGAGTCTGGGGGTTGAGGGGGGGTGCTTCCGGGCTGTGGAAAGGGGCTGGGGCCCTGCTGGGCGTGTTGGGGGAGGCGGGCTCTGCCTCCAGGGCTGCAGTCAGCGTGGAGATAACAGACAGTTTCCGAAAGGCTCAATATTCAATATTTCTGCTGAGACACTCAACCACCCACACGGCCCCAGTTGCGGCCCAGCCGGGGACCCAGATGCTCGCGCGCACCCCCCCCCCCCCCCGCAGGCCGCCAGACGCCCAGGCACGCGCACCTTCCCCAGCCTGCCCACGGGTCTCTCACACACACACCTGTCCTTACACACTGCCTCACGCTGGTCTTTCCTCTTCTCCAGCCGCCCTGGGCATGCTGGAGTTTGACCTTCTCTACGACCAGGCCTCCTGCACTCTGCGCTGCAGTATCCTCAGGGCCAAGGTGGGTACTCCCGGCCTCCCAAGCCCTGGCCCCGTTTGCCTGTTTCCAGGTCCCCAGGTTGGACCCCTCCTCCTCCCCCCGACCCCTATCCCCCGGCACCCTTCTTCTTGACTCTCCACACCCCGAGGATCCACTCTGCAGCGGGAGGGAGGGAGGCAGGGCTGGGAGCTTGCAGCCCTCTTCCTTCCCCTCCCCTGCAGGGCCTCAAGCCCATGGATTTCAATGGCCTGGCCGACCCCTATGTCAAGCTACACCTGCTGCCTGGGGCCTGCAAGGTAACGGCCTCTTCCCTCCCCCAGCCTGAGCCGGCTTGTGGGTCTGTCCCCAAACTTCCCATGCCTTCAGCCTCTGTGGGTCTGGGGGACGTGGACTGAGAACCTTCGTCCCCACACCTCAGGCCAATAAGCTAAAAACTAAGACTCAGAGGAACACGCTGAATCCCGTGTGGAATGAGGATCTGACGTACAGTGGGATCACGGATGAGGACATCACCCACAAGGTGCTCAGGTGAGGGCTCCATTCCCCCTGTTACTGAGGATTCCAGCTCAGCACCTCCTCTGGGAGCTGTCATTGCCACCTTCTTTGGCTGGTTGATCTGCCTCCCATTAAGCCGCTCTCAGATGCTCAGGAACAATCACTGGCTCCCCATCCCCCTTCGGCAGCAGGCCAAAATGTTTCCCCGGCATTCCTGCCCTCCAAATATCTCCTCCTACTGCTGGTCAGCTTCAAGACTCCTGACCTCTGCCTGTTGTGTCTCTTCCATGGAAAGTGCTCCCCGCTGTGCCTCCTCCTGGAAGCTTTCCCTGGTTGCCGAGCGCCCTCCCCAAAGCCCCCGACAAGTCAGACCTATGTAGCAGAGGTCTGCCCATCCTCATGCCTGTGCCCCCCTAACATCCCGTGCTAAGGAGTGAAGTCTTCAGGGACAGGGAACTTGCTCCATCATCCCAGGAGGTGGGGCTGTGGGGACTGTAGTCCCTGGCCCGACTGAAGGGCAGCACAGCCCAGGCTTGTGAGGCCTTTAGCTGTGTTCTTGGCAATGGGGAAGCCGGGGCAGGGTTGGCACTGGGGCGGGGGCATGGTCAGCCTTGGGTTTTGGAGATCATTCTGTTGGCTGTGAAGCTGACACTGGGGATCGGGGCGGTGGGGGCGGGGGGGACAGAGGCAGACACCGGGAAGGCTGGCCCATCTTTCAGATGTGAGCACATTAGGCCTGAGTAGCCGAGTGCGCACTCGTGCCCAGCTCTGGGTTATGCAACTTTACATTTATTTCCCTTGATCCTGATAGTTGTAGGAGGTGGGTGCTCATATCTCCATTTTATAGATGGGAATTGAGGCATAGGGAGCTTGAGTGACTTGGCCAAGGTCACACAGGTAGCTAGTAGGTGGCAGAGGTAGGAAATAAACAGCCCTCCAGGACAGCTCCTCAGGAGTGTCAGAACAGAAGGAAGCACAGGGAGCTGCAGAAGGGGATGAACGGAACTAAAAGCAATCATTTCTTAAAGATTTTGTCAGAGAGGGAGAGAGCGTACACACAAGCAGGGGGAGAGGGAGAAGCGGACTCCCTGCGGAGCAGGGAGCCCGATGCGGGGCTCGATCCCAGGACCCTGGGATCACCACCGGAGCCGAAGGCAGACGCTTAACTGACTGAGCCACCCAGGCGCCCCTAAAAGCTGTCATTTCTTAATCGCTGGGCTCCCGTGTCTCTCCCAGGCTGGTTCCCTGCTCCAGGCAGACAAGGACAGGAGTGCCAGAGGAGGCGTGGGATCCTCGCCCAACCGCCCAAGGCTCCTCAAGGCGCTTCCAGCCCTTGCACACGGAGTCTGGGACCCACACCCACCAATGCCTGCTCTGGGCACGTTGTTCAGTTGGATCCCGTCCCCAGGCTCTGAATGGAGGCAGTGGAGGGTGGCGGTCCTCAGGATTTGTGAGGGCTTCCTGAAGTAGCTGCGCAGGTCCCGATGGACCGGGGGTGGCCGGGGCAGCGGGACAGGGCACCACACAGCCCGTGAGACAGGTGAGGCGTAGAGTAGGGCAGAGCTGGGACTGGCTTCAGGTGCCCCGCGTTCGGTTGGAGGACCTTTCTCCCCACCGGAGCAGGCTCAGGTACGCCGGGGGCCCTGACCCTGCGGTTCCCCGCCAGGATCTCCGTCTGTGACGAGGACAAGCTGAGCCACAATGAATTCATTGGGGAGATCCGAGTACCCCTCCGCCGCCTCAAGCCTTCACAGAAGAAACATTTTAACATCTGCCTTGAGCGCCAGGTCCCGGTCTGTGTAGGGGTGGGGCGGGGGGGGTGTGTGCTGGGTGGGGCGGCGACCCTGGGGAGGCCAGGTTTCCAGAACCTTCTCTCCGTCCCCTCAGCTGGCTTCACCCTCCTCCATGTCAGTGGCACTGAGGGGCATCTCCTGTTACCTGAAGGAGGTGAGGTACCCCACAGGGACCGCGCCCGTGTGGGTGGGAGGTGGCGGGGATGCGGGCTGACCCCCGAGTCCCCCCCACAGCTGGAGCAGGCCGAGCAGGGGCCCGGGCTGCTGGAAGAGCGCGGGCGCATCCTGCTGAGTCTCAGCTACAGCTCTCGGCGCCGGGGGCTGCTGGTGGGCATCGTGCGCTGCGCCCACCTGGCTGCCATGGACGTCAACGGCTACTCCGACCCCTACGTCAAGACGTGAGCCCGCCCTTCCCTCCCCTGGGGGCCTGACCTCCTCTGCGGCCTGATGCGTCCCTGACCGCCCCGCCCTCCTCTGCAGGTACCTGAGGCCTGACGTGGATAAGAAATCCAAGCATAAAACGTGTGTGAAGAAGAAGACTCTCAATCCGGAATTTAATGAGGTAAGCGGGGCAGGGCCCAGAAATCAAGCCGGGGGTGGGGGGGAGCTGGGGCCGGGGCCTCACGGAAGCTGTGGCCCGCCCTGCCCCAGGACTTCTTCTACGAGATGGAGCTCTCTGCTCTGGCCACCAAGACTCTGGAAGTCACAGTGTGGGACTACGACATCGGCAAATCCAACGACTTCATCGGTGAGGGGACAGGCTGCTGGGTGGGGCCGGTGATGGGGGGCTGGGCAGGGGGCAGGCCAGCGGAGACGGGCCCTGACGGTGCCGGCCCTTGCTGCCCGCCAGGTGGCGTGGCCCTGGGGCCCGGGGCCCGGGACGAGGCCCGGAAGCACTGGAGTGACTGCCTGCAGCAGCCGGACGCGGCCCTGGAGCGCTGGCACACCCTGACCAGCGAGCTGCCCCCCGCCGCCGGGGCCCTGCCCTCAGCCTGAGCAGGTGGCAGCTGCCCCGCACGGGCCCCGCGGGGCCAGGACCCAACCTCCGCACGAGTGTGTTGCACGTTTACACGGGGTGCATGCCCCGCCCCCCACTACCTGTCTTATTTTGTGAGAGTCTGCGTGACCGTGGGTCCGTCCTCTCGCGAGGGGCCGTGGACATCTACATTCACATATGCAAACTTCCTCCTGCCTGCCTCGCTCCCACACAGATATGCAAACACCCAGCCCGGGCACGCCCGCAGGGGGCTGCCGGGCCTCTCTCCTGCCCCTCCAGGCTGCCCCGTCCCCCTCGGCCCACAGGGAGGAGGTCGGATTCAGGGGGGTTCGGAGGAGGGGAATGTCTCCAAAAAAGAGAAGGACGAAAAACAAAAACAAAAAAAAGAGCCACTCCTTTAATACAGAATCTTCCTTAAAAACCAACGAACCAACCTAGCCCTGTACAGCTGCCCTTTTAAATGGGGGGGCCACCGCAGGCTCTCTGCCTCTCCCAGAGGTGGCAGATGCTCCCGGCCACTCATTTAAAGAACTGTTCCCTGGATGGGGCCAGGATGGGAGGGCAGGGCCTCTGCCCTCCCCCCCACCCCCACCCCCGCGGGGACCCACCTCCCGGGGGACATCCGTGCATGTTTACGCCTCTTCTGATCGTGTCAGTGGCCGCGGCATGGCAACTGGGCGTCAATAAACGTCTCTGCGGAAGCTGGGGGCTCGTGTGTGCTGGCGTCGGGCACAGGGCGGGGGCTCGGCCAGAGAGGGGGTCACTCTGGGATGTCGATCACCAGGTCATCATCCCCGTCCAGGGCATCATCCCCGCTGCCCGCGTCGCTGAACATCTGCCGAGGGACGGCGCTCAGGATCGTGGGAGGAGGCATCTTGGGTGGGGGCAGTGGGGCCAGGGCTGCCCCCACCCCGGCCCCAGAGCCCCGGCCTGGGAAGGTCAGCGGCCCTCCCACAGGGCAGTCGGGGGGGCCCACCGCCATCTGCAGCAGGGGGAAGAAACACAGGGAGGGCTGGTCAGGGAGGCACTGGACCTCCAGAAGGCTGGCGGGGGCCTCTTAAGGCAGTTCTGGGGGGACAGGGGAGGGGGGCGAAGGCTCATGCCAGGGGCAGTGGACACAGCCCGGCCAGCCAATGCTGGAATCGGAGTGGGGGGGGCCTGCCTCACCTCAGCCCCTTGAATCTCACCCCAGCAAGTGCCTGCAGGTGAGAGGTGGTGATGGAAGCGGTAATGAGGGTGGTGGTGGTGGTGGTGGTGGTGGGGAGGGGAGTCTCCCAGGAAACCAGGAGGGGAAGGCTGGGCCCCGCCCTCTCCAGGGAGGCCCCTTGGCTGCCCCGTGACAGCACTTAGAGCTGGTCAGAGCCAGCCCGCAGTGCCAGCCTGCCTGCCTCTGGGCACCTCGGACCCCAGCTGCCGGCACCGGCCTCTCCCTCCTACTTCGGGACTCACTGGTGAGCTGGACGCTGTCCTAGGCCTTCGCCCCCCCGCCGGGTGAGGCTTCTACCTCTTCTGTCTTGGGATCCCCGCAGCTCACCTGGGCTACAGTACCAGCCTCCTAACTGGACTCCCTGCCTTCAGCCTCTCCCAGAGTCAGCTCTTCCACACTGCAGCCAGAGTGAGCTCTCTAAAACACAGACCTGAGCGCGTCATTCCCCCACGCAAGGGACAGGTGGGAAGCTGTGCCCGACAACAGGCCAGCCCCTCCACCTGGAGTGTCCTTTTCTAGCCATTAAAGTCTTGCTTTGTCCTCTGAGGCTGGGACGTGGCCTCTGTCCTGCCCAACCCTCCAGCCCCCGCCCCCTGCCAGGACTCCCCCCACCCCCACCCCACCAGAGAGCTCTGTGGGCCCAAACAGCACCTGCTACGTGCCAGGTGACTGCCATTAACGACCATTCCGACCACCCTGGAAGGGAGGGGAGGTCACGGGCCAGAGGAGGAATCTGAGACTTGCAAATGAAGACTCCGAGGCACAGGCCTGCTGGGTCCCCGCTGGGCAGGTCCCGTATGCCGCCTGGGTCCCCGCTGGGCAGGTCCCATATGCCGGGTGGCGGCGGCAGGAAGCGCTTACGTGTGTCTCTGCAGCGGCCCCCGGGGCCTGCTTTCACACCTTCCGCCCTCATGGCCTACCGGCTGCCTCTCCAGGAGCCCCCAGCCCCACTGCTGTCCTTGGGGTGGTGGAGGGCCAGAGTTGGCCTTTACCTCCCGGTCAGTGCCTCAGGGTACAGGAGTTGGCCAGGACTGGTGACAGACAAGAGGCCCAGCTCCATGAGGACAGCCCCCCTCCTCTGGCTGCCACCTTTGGACCCCCACCCTAGTCCTTACGTCCCACCCCTTCCTGGCCTTCCTCAATGGCCTCTGTGTGACCAAGAGCAGCTCTTGTTTATCCACAGCTTACTAGGGACCAGGCACTGGGCTATGTGTTTTCTCTCCCTAAACTCACTTTATTCTACACTGACCCCACCAAACAGAGAAGCTGAGGCTCAGAAAGTGAAATGACTTGCCCAAGGTCACACGGGAAAGTGTGTGGAGGACTCAAACCCACTCCATCTGACGGGCCCAGGCCCTTAACTGACCTGCTCCTGTTTTCACGGCTGTCCTTTGTCTCCTCAGATCAAGCCACCCAGAAACTTCAGTGACGCCCATCCCTTTACAAGGACCTCCTGGCCCTGGGCACCCAGACCTCTGTGATCCCCCCTCACCCTATGTTTCTGTCCACTGTCCTTCTCCCTTCTCCCTCCTGCGTCAGCCCAAACAATACTTCTGCCACATCCCTGTCCTCCTTCCACTCTTGCTGAGCCTGCAATTTCCAAATCTCACCTCTCCTGGGCTCAGATGTTATCTCTTCTTTGAGGCCTTCCCTGATTTACCCCCTCCTCCACCACAGCAACTGATCTGGGCCCGTCTCTCAACCAACCTCCTCTCTCCTCGATGGCCACAACTCAGCTCCCCATCACCTCTCCGTCAGGACCCAGCACCTCAGCCTCACACCGCAATGCCACACGCGTGCCACGCCTCCACCCATCGGCTCCAGGCTTCACCGCCCCTGGCCTTCCGCACCATCCCACCCTACAGGCCAGAAGCAAAAGCCTGCCGAGGAGAGTGTGGTGCCAAGGTCACATGGAGGGTAAGAGGCGGAGCTGGGATTTGAACCCCGAACCAGCACTCCTAACCACCACGAACGATGACCTCCCATTTCGCCTCTGGCCCCCGTCTACCCACTTTGAAAGGTGTCCTGTCTAGTCCCAGTTCCACCCTGACTCGGAGCTGGAAGGGCACTGTGCCTCCTGGGCCCTACTCCCTCCTGGGACTCAGCGTGCAGGCCTCTCCCTTCCCCTCTCCAGCCATGTTCTCCCCCAACAATCACACCCACCTCCACGCTGAGGACTTCAGTGCACCCCACGAGCCCCAGGCTGGCGGCCTCCTGTATCTCGCTGGCCTTTCCAGACAGCATTCAGCATGTCCCAACTCCTCGTCTTCCCTCCCACAGCTGCTCCTCCCGGGCTCAGAGGGAGGCTACCCCTCTTCTTCAGTTGCTCGGGCCCCAAACCCTGGAGCTGCCCCTGGGCTCCGCTCTTTCCCACAGCCCGCGCTGGTCTTCCCATGGCTCCATCTTTGAAATCGATGCGTCAGCCACTTTTTGGCGGCTCTATACCCTGCTTTACTGCAGAAGCCTCCTCGGGGGTCTCCCCACTTGCATCCTGACCCAGCGCCTCCCTGGTCTGTTCTCCACACAGCTGTGAGTTCCATAAAACAGAGCAGACTCCCCTTGGCCCGATCTCCTGCAACGGCTCCCCATTTCATTCACAGTACAAGCGAGTCTCTGCGACACTGAGAGGGCGCTCCACCATCCTGCCCCCTGGTTATTTCTCTGACCTGCTCACCACCACCCACCACCCCTCCCTTGCCTCCGACCACACTGGCCTCCTTCCTGCTGGGGGCCTCTGCACTGCTGGCTCTCCCTGAAACACCTGTTCAGAGAGCCACATGCTCGCTTCTCATTTCTTTTAAGCCTCTGACCAAATAATGTCCCAGACCACCCACCCAACAATACCAGCCCCTCTCTACTCTGGAGCTTCCCACCCGCTCTACCTGGCCCCATTTCTCGGCGCTGGCACCTACTTATCTTGTCTGCTTTCCACCTCTCTTGCTAGAATGGGAGCTTCGTGAAGGCGGGGATTTTTGTCTGTTCTGTTCGCTACCGCACCGGCAGCACCTCGGACAGTGCCTGGTACACAGCAGGTGCCCCAGGAACACTCATTCTACATGTGGTTTGAGCACTCATTTACGCATGCAGAAGAGGCCTCGACGGTCAGAGAGACCTGCTCAAGGTCACATGGTTTCTAACTGGTGCAGTCTTGACTCGACTCCAGATCCCACAGCTCTGCCCGTCCTCTGGGGCTGCCCGGCATCACAGGCCACCTGTGAACGATGAGCCTGGTCCCCACGAGTCTTCGCTCTGAGTGCCCCAAGGCCGGTCCTGCCCTCATTTTTCTCCACATCAAGTCTGTGGGCCAGGACATCTCTGACCCACCCCTCAGCGCCTAGCCCTAGGTTGGGCCCCCAGCAGCCCCAAATCAATCCTTGGAAGTTCTCGGACAGGCCCCAGCCCATCTCGAGCCTCCCTCAGATGGCGGTCCTCCTGCCGTTCTGGCCCCTCCCTAACATCCCCCAATCAGGGTACCTTGAGTTTCCGGGGCAGGCGGGGCCGTTTCTCCCGCTTGGGCCTCAGGGGGCTGGGCTCGGGCAGCTGCAGGGCCAGGTAGTCAGAAGGGAATGGGGGGTAGGGGGGGGAAGCCAGCTGCAGGCGGGAGTGAGGGGATGGAGATGGGAAATGGAGTGGACGGGGTGGGCGGGGAGGGAAGAAACGCAAACAGGAGGAGGAATGGAAAAACAAGAGGTGGTGATGAGTGTGGCTCCTGAGAACAGAAGGGGAGGGGACAGCAGCAGGACTATGTCCTGAGCTCTGCTCTCCTCAGTCACGCCTGTCCCCCATTCCTACACCAGAGAGAAGTGGGCAGCCCCGACTCACACCCCTCCAACGGACGCTTGCTGCCACACCCAGACAGATGTCCCCAGAGTTGGGCCGGCCTCCCCCTGAGGCCCGTCTGCCCAACAATGCCCACCTTACTCCCAGGCGGCTCAGTTACCGCTTCCCACCCTTGACCGCAACTCACCGAGCTCAGGTACGGGGAGGGGGCCGTGGAGGCCTGAAGGGGAAACCCCGTTGAAGGAGGCAGGGAGAGGCTGGAGGGGGAGGGGGCACCCCCCAGTGGAGGGCTTCTCTTCCTGGAGAAAGTACGGGGGGTGTGTGTCAGAAGCAGCTAGGAGGCCCAGGTGCCCCCACCCACCCCCACCCCCAGAGAAGAACGATGGCTTCTTCCCACCTCTTGGGGGCTGGCGTGTCCGACAACTTGGGTGTTCCCTCTGTCTCGCTGTTATCTGAAGATGCAGTGGCATCTGAGTCTGTGAGGGGGTAGGGCTGGTCAGAGGGAGGGTGGGGGGCTCCAGCCTACCCCAGAGAGGTGCAATCTCAACTCTATGGAAGGGCCCCAGGGAATCTGACTCCCCAGTTGGCACATACGTGCTCTTTGGGGGAGGCCCACAGCTTCCTAAAATGTCCTTTACAACTGACTTCCTGCCTTGACTCCTCCCTCGTAACACAACTGTCAAGCACTTAACTGTGTGCTATGCTCTGAAAAGTTCACCCCCGCTCCCTGTGCTCATAACCATCCAAGGAGGAAGGTGAGGGCATCATGTCCTCCTTCCAGATGAGGTCACCAAGGCTCACAGAATAAGGTGTGGAGCTGGGACTTGAACCCCCATCTCTGACTCATTCACCATCTTCTGCCACTCTCCTTTATGAGCCTCCTAAGCTGCCTTCAGCTCCTGCCTCTGTTCCACTCCCCAGGTCCAGGGTCCTGCTACCCTTCACATCTCTCCTGTTTTTATCCACTGCTCCCCATCCCAACGACCACCAGCTCAGGCCACCACATCAAAATCACCGGCTCAGCAATCTCACCTCTCCTGCCACCCACTGTCCACGCCAGCTCCAGAATGATCCATCTGGAAAGCTGATCCCAGCCTTCCTGGTGACATCCCCTCCTGCCTGTGAACATCTGGAGTGCTTCTTAATCTGGTCTCAACCTACCTTTCTGGTCTCCTGACCGAACCGTACTCTTCCTTCACATCATTTCCTCTAAAAAGAAATTTATTGGGGCGCCTGGGTGGCTCAGTCGTTAAGCGTCTGCCTTCAGCTCAGGTCGTGATCCCAGGGTCCTGGGATCGAGCCCCGCATCGGGCTCCCTGCTCCGCGGGGAGCCTGCTTCTCCCTCTCCCGCTCCCCCTGCTTGTGTTCCCTCTCTCACTGTGTCTCTCTCTGTCAAATAAATAAATAAAATCTTAAAAAAAAAAAAAAAAGAAATTTATTTCCCAGTTCTGCACTTCTACTTAGAAGGCCTATAGCTCATTTGACAAATAACTGATACCCGGGATATAGGCTGTCCCCAGTTTCTCTACTCAGATCCTTTAAGAGGCAAAATTAAACACCGCCTCGGGGCACCTGGGTGGCTCAGTCGTTAAGTGTCTGCCTTCGGCTCAGGTCTTGATCCCAGGGTCCTGGGATCGAGCTCCACATCGGGCTCCCTGCTCAGGGGGGAAGCCTGCTTCTCCCTCTCCCACTCCCCCTGCTTGTGTTCCCTCTCTCGCTATGTCTCTCTCTGTCAAATAAATAAATAAATAAATAAATAAATCTTAAAAAAAATAAATAAATAAACACCGCCTCTCTGAGAAGTCTTCCAGAATCCCTCAGGCTCAGTTAATTGCTGGCTCTCCCCAAAACTCTCCACTCTCACTTGTCAGGGCTCGCCTCACGTTGTGCTAAGATGTGTCATGTGTGGGTGTCTCCCTGACCAGACGGTGGGCTTTTCCAGGATACGAGTGGCGGCTTATGTCTCTGGTTCTCCCTCCTCAAGATTTATCCCACTCTGACCATGAACATGCTGTTTTTTCTCATGGCTCCTGTCCTGAAGTTCCCCTCAAACAGGAAGTTACCTGGAAGACCTCAGGGAAGGAACAGGCAGGCAATGAGAAGCAGGATGAAAAGCCAAATGGTTTGCCTTGACCCACATGAGCTGGCTCCTGCCTATTTCTCTGACCTCATCCATCACCTACCATCCCATCATATATAAAGTAATGACCATTGTGTGTTCCAATAAAACATTATTTACGAAAGCAAGTAGCCTAACTGACTGTTGTCTGCTGACCCCACTCCAGACCAGTGTTTAAAGGCACCATGGGGAGAGGTGATCGTATATGACATATATGAGGACCCCACGTTGGAAGAGGACCACAAATGCCCACCTTAGCACTTTTTCAAACTGTGGGTCTCAACTTATTAGTGGGTCATGAAGTCAACTTAGTGGTTTGCAACCAGCATTAAGTTAAAAAAAAAAAAAAAAAAAGTGGAGCACCTGGGTGGCTCAGATGGTTAAGCGTCTGCCTTCGGCTCAGGTCATGATCTCAGGGTCCTGGGATCGAGTCCTGCATCAGGATCCCTGCTCCTTGGGAGCCTGCTTCTCCCTCTGCCTCTCTCTCTCTGTCTCTCATGAATAAATAAATAAAATCTTAAAAAAGAAAAAAGCAGTCTAGGGGCGCCTGGGTGGCTCAGTTGTTAAGCGCCTGCCTTCGGCTCAGGTCATGATCCCGGGGTCCTGGGATCGAACCCCGCATCGGGCTCCCTGCTCTGCCAGAAGCCTGGTTCTCCCTCTCCCACTTCCCCTGCTTGTGCACCGTCTCTCGCTGTGTCTCTCTCTGTCAAATAAATATAAAATCTTAAAAAAAAAAATAAAAAACCAGTCTAAAAACCATCAGAATAAGTTATATACGATGACCTTTAACGCTGTTTCATTTTGTTGTCTTATAAGCAAGTATGTCCGCGGGGCCTTGGTCTGACATGATAAGGAGTGCTCAAAGCAAAGTGTGGAAACACTGCTTCAGCCCTTCTGCTCTGCAGACAACCTGGTCCCTTCTCACCTCAGGGCATCTGCACTGGCCATTCCCTCTGCCTGGAAATCTCCCACTTGTATCTTCACAAGATTGGTTTCTGCTTCTTACCTAGGTCCCAGCTGAAACATTCCTTCCCGAGAAACGCTTTTCTGGAGTGCTCTACTGATGCTGTCTGTCATCTGCTTTTGTGTTGTTTGCAAACTAAGAACAGCTTTTACGTTTTTTGTTTTTTTTTTTAAAGATTTTATTTATTTATTTGAGACAGAGAATGAGAGACAGAGAGCATGAGAGGGAGGAGGGTCAGAGGGAGAAGCAGACTCCCTGCTGAGCAGGGAGCCCGATGCGGGACTCGATCCTGGGACTCCAGGATCATGACCTGAGCCGAAGGCAGTCGCTCAACCAACTGAGCCACCCAGGCGCCCCAGCTTTTACGTTTTTAAATGTTGGGCGGGGGTGGACTCAAAGGAAAAATACTACTCATGACATGTGAAAATCACATGAAATTCAAGTTTCAGTGTCCATAAATAAAGTTTTATTGAAACACCTCCATGCTCACTTATTTACATATCACCTATGGCTCCCTTTGCACCACAACAGCAGAACTGGGTAGTTGCAACAGTTCTGCAAAGCCTGAAATATTTTTAATCGGGCCCTTTACAGAAAACGTTTATCAACCCCTGCTCTACTCCGATCACTACCATACAGCCCTGATTTTTTTCCTTTCAAATCTAAGATCCTAGTTTCTTTGCTTTCCTGTTACCCCCAGCCAGAACGCAAATTCCACTGTATCCCCTGTGCAAAGCAATAAATACTCGAGTGAAAGAATGGTAGAGGTGAAGGGCAAGCAACAGATTTAGAACCACTGGAGGTTTTATCAGCCTCCACAGCCTATAATGAGGGGCCCAGGAAGCTTGCTGAAGTGCCAGGAGCCACTTCCTCCACTAATATTTCATGACCTTGCTCACCAGAAGAATCTTCATCCACATTCTCGTACTGCAGAAGTCGGTCTAGGAGGAAACTAAAGGAAGAGGCGGGGAGAACAAGAGTGTTTATTCCCATCTCAGCAACGTTCTCCTGGACCCTGTCCCCTCTAGCTGGTCCAAGGGGTCCTCGCAACAGCCCCAAGCCAGGCGCCATGCATCTGTGGCCCAATTCCAAGGATGGGGTCCGAATGTAGATCCACAGGAGCCACACCACCCGCAGACATTCCCCCTTCCCCCCACCGTGTCCCACCTCTTATCCCGGGACACCTTCAGCAACTTCCTCTGCGCCTTCCTCAGCTCCTCCTGGAAGCACTCGTGTTCCTGTATCACAAGCAAGGTGGACGCTGAGCCAACGGTCATCGGTAAAGGGGCCCGGAACCCGGCGACAGTTGACTCCGTTCCCTTTACACGTGGGTAAACTGAGGTCCTACCAGCGCCAGGCCTCAACCCCCACAACCTCTCACCCCTGCACTCACGTAGATGAGGAACTTGAGCTTCCGCTTCAGGTTCCGGTATTTCTTCTTGTAGTCCACTTCGCCGTCCGCCGGCCCGTTCATGACCTGCCCCAGGAGCAATGCCCCGCAGTTGTCGGCCGTCCAGCTACCCAGAGCCTGCGCACAGCCCCGCCTCTCACGCCTCTGCTTCCGGAGACTCCGTAAGGCTGTGTCCGCCGGGACTACAACTCCCAGCGTACCCCGCGCCCAAGGCTCTTAACCACAAGAGTTGCCCTCTTAGGAACACCGGGAAAAGAACGTAGCTTCCAAGGGGCTACGCTGAAGATGGCGTCGCAGCGACGCGATGATGTCATAAAGATGGCGGACGCCGGAGGTACCTTTGCGGATTCTGGATGTGCTTAGCAATCGCAAGCCACAAGACTTTCCCCCAGGGATTCCTAGTCTTCAGGCGAGGATATCCTTTTTCATCTGTCTTTCGAAATCACTGCGGCCTAGCTAGTGCCCGTGACCACGGACGGAGGCAGTGTCGCGGGTTGATTACGTTATTACACCCGAAGGCTGCCGGCGTCGAGTCGGTTTCTAACGATAATTTTTAAAAACGATTGACCCTAAGAAAAGGGAGGAGCCGCGAACCCCTCCAACTACCTGAGGCAAGCAAGTTTTGTCCGGCAAAGTTCTCGGTCCAAGCGACCCGCGACCAACCCCCAGCGGTCCCTCTCACGGCGCCGCCACCCTGCGAGTGCGCAAGCTCCTGTCAAACGCGGTGACGGAGGCCGAAGAGAAAAAAAGGCGGGAGCCACCAATCCCAGGTGGAGCAAAATGGCGCGGGAGAACGAGATGCAGGAGTTCATCCGTAGCTTCTTCCGAGGCCGCCCGGACCTCAGGTGCACTAGAGGCTGGAGTTGGGGTTGGAAAGGGCAGGGGCGGGATGTGGACTCTGTCTTGACACATGTCTCCGCAGCACGCTCACGCACTCCATCGTGCGGCGGAGGTTCTTGGCTCACGCGGGCCGCGACCACCTGGAACCCGACGAGAAGCAGGCGCTGAAGCGACTGGTGGAGAAGGAGCTGCTGAAGGTGCAGGTGTGGGCGCGAGGCGGGGTTTGTTGCTGAGGAGGAGGGGCCTGGGAGGGGGTAGGGAACGCAAACTTGGTACACGTTTTGCCCTCTCGCGCACACACAGGTGGATGAAGCAGGTGCCAGGGAAGAGAGGCTAGAGCTTGCCAAGAAGGCAAAGAGGCCTCCCACTCCCAGCAGTGGCCCCGTGAGGAAAAGGTTCCGTTTCAATTCGGAATCAGGTTAGTGCCTTCCGCATAGTTGGTGCATTCAAAAAGTATTTACTGTGCGTGCATGATCTCCCAAGGCATTAGACGAGGGCAGGAGGCCAGTGAGGCAGAACCAGGCAGGGGGTGGACTGACTGACAGCTGTGTTTCCTGTTGCCCTTCCCTTCATCTGTCAGAGGCAACCAACCCCAAGTGGAGGGAAGAAGGGCCAGGAGGAACCCATCCCGACCTTCTTTTCTCTCCACATTCCAGAGCCCAGCTCTGCAGCCTCCAGTCCAGACTGCTTTGGCCCCCAAGCAAAGAATGGGATGGCGGCGGTAGAAGTCAGTCCAGCTGAGGGGGAGAGTCCAAAGCAAGCCTCAGAGAAAGCAGTTGAGGAGAGCAGTGATGAGGAAGAACAGCAGAGGGGCCTGACTGCAAAGACTGGATTAGAGAAGCTGGTGGCCAAGGAGAGCAGTGAGGAAGAGGAAGAGTGCTCGGCCAGAACAAGTGAGGTCTCAAAGGAAGAGAGCAGTGAGGAAGATGAGGAAGAGGAGGAGGAGTCTAAAGGCAGGATTAGGAAGGAACCTGTGACAAGGAATAAGCAGGCACCAGGCAAAACCTCAGCCAGTAAGAAGCAGGCTAGGGAGGAGAGTGAGGACAGTGAAGAGGAACCTATCCAGAGGACAAGAAAGAAGGCAGTGGGAAAGAAAGGAGCTAAAAGCCACCAGGAAAGTGAAAAGGACAGTGAGGAGGACACCCTAGCCAAAAAGAAAGACAACAGAGAGGAAGAGGAGGAGAATTGGAAAGCTGGAGCCCGGGGCAATGGAGGGAAAAAGTCAGCTTGGGAGGAGAGGAGCTGTAAGCAGAAAAGCAGGGCAGCAAGACTGCTGGGAGAGTCGGGGGACAGAGAGGAAGAAAAGGAAAAAGCAGGCAGTGGGGATAAGAGCGGGGGAGACGAAGAGCCCCTGGTGCAGAGGAAGAGAAAGGACAGGACCCCATGGAAGGGTGAGAAAAGGCAGAGTGGAAGCAGCGAGGATGGGGAAGACAGCTGGAGAAAGGTGAAACCAACTACTGAAGGCACTGGAAAGACAGCCAAAGTGGGCAGTATCAGTGGTGAGGCGAGCGACTCGGAGAGGGAGGTGAGTGACGGTGAGGCAGGGGGTAGCCCTAAGAGGGAGAAGGAGAACCACTCTTTCCAGAAGAGCTCCAGGAAAGGCAGGACGCGAAGCTCCTCCTCCTCATCCACAGATGGCAGTCCGGAACCTAAAGGCAGGAAGGTGATGAGGGGGGACAATGGGGTGGGAGGCCACCTTTAAGGAAGAGGGAGACCCTGACTCAAGTGCAGAAGGTTTGGCCTTCAGCTGCTGTCTTTCTTTGCCAGGCTGGCTCTGGTCGCCGCGGTGAGGACCACCCAGCTGTGATGAGGCTAAAGCGTTACATTCGGGCCTGTGGTGCCCATCGCAACTACAAGAAGCTGCTGGGCCCCTGCCGCTCACACAAGGAGCGCCTCAGTGTCCTCCGGGCAGAGCTGGAAGCCCTGGGCATGAAGGGTGAGGCTGGATGTGCCCTGGGGGCCGCAGGAGAGGGCCTGGGCAGCCGGGGAAGAGAGGATCACCAGCCTCTTCTGCCCCAGGTAACCCTTCCTTAGAGAAGTGCCGGGCCCTGAAGGAGCAGCGGGAGGAGGCGGCCGAGGTGGCCTCCTTGGACCTTACCAACATCATCAGTGGTTCAGGTGAGGGGTTTCCTCCCACTCTCTGAGATGGGGCTTGGATTTTCTCAGATAACTGATCTGCTTTTTCTACCCCTCTATCCAGGCCGGCCACGCAGACGCACAGCTTGGAACCCTTCAGGAGAAGCAGATGCCCCAGGGGAGCTATACCGCCGGACTTTGGGCTCAGAGGATGAGCAGCCCCGTGCCCCACCCCCAGACTGGTCACATATGCGCGGCATCATCAGCAGTGATGGAGAGAGTAACTGAGCTCCTCCCCTTTCCCAGGAGGCTTTCCACTTGGAGAAAGCAGATCAGCACCCACAGCCCCCATCCCAGTCGGTGCCTGCAGAGCTTCAGAAGCAGCTTTCTTCAGAGAAGACTTTGCACCCCCAGGGACACAAGTTGTTGGGATCCTATTTCTCATGTTCTCAGTTGAAGGTGTTTACAGGGGTTTATTGTTTAAGACTCAATAAAGGACTTGTTTGAATCACCTCATCAAAACTGGTCCCCACTTGGGGCGCCTGGCTGGCTCAGATGGAGGAGTACGTGACTCTTGATCTTGGGGTCGCTGAGTTTGGGGCGAAGAGATTACTTAAATAAAACTTAAGAAAACGAAAACCGGCCCCACCCTCACTCCGTACTTTGAGCCAGGAAGGTGAGGAGTGTCCACTGTCCCCACCCAGTCTCGTTCCCTTTTATTTCCCCCAGGTTCTCCAAATGAAGTCCCAGCTCCAGACCCTACCATCCAGTCTGCCACTGGTCTCTATCAGAAGAGTGGGGCTCCTACCCTGCTTCCTCCAGCCCGACCAGCAGGGCCCTCACCATCCTGCTTTTAAGCTGTGTTACATGCCTAGCTGGGAGGAGGGTCTGAATAACTGGCTTTAAGAAAAATGTGAGAAACATAATGAATTGACTTGGGGACAGCTGGTGTTTACGTCTTCCTTCTCCCCTTCTGGAAACAGCCACTTAGTCCCTGGGCCAATTCTTTTCGCCTTGAAGGGGTAGGTACGGGGCATAGACCTACCAATCCGAGTACCTCAGGCCTCTGGCTACAGACGGAGCCAATGACGTCACTTTAGGACTTTGCTGGCATACTCGCTGTTGAGATTGCTGCTAAGATGTAGGCTTGGAGCTGCCAGGAGCCTGTGTGTGAAGTGAACCTTCTGAAAATCTTTGAAGCCCAAAGCAAAGGGAGTAGAGGCCAAAAGACTGATGAATCCCTTTAAAGCTCTGGATCTAGCCATGCCCAAAGTCATTAAAATCACTGAAATTTTTAGTTAACACAGCCCAATAAAATCCCTTTTTAAATACAAGCCACACGATCACCTCCGGCCAAACAGTCCTTAATACACACCTTGGACAGAAAGGGTGAGTCCTGGGGTCTGTTAGAATAACCAACAGTTTATTAAAAGCTTGCTGTGGGGCTCTGTGCCAACCCCATAGCTGGGAGGGGCTCCCATGACTGCCCCCAGGCCTGGGAGCAGCCCCTTAGAAGGTCCTTCCCTTGTTCCCCTGCCCCAGCTCTGATCTCAATTAAAAAAAAAAAAAAAAAAAAAGATAAAGGACAAGACGGCACAGGACGTCAGACAGCAACGGTGGGGGGAGGGGGGGATATGGAGAGACCAGGCAACCTGACCCCAAGACCCCATCCTGATCCTTCTTTTTTAGGAAGGCCTTTTCCTTCTGTTCTCCCCACCCCAGACCTGCTCTGCCACACCCCAGGTCTGGGGGGCCTGGCATCCCCAGTCCACAGCCCCATTACACGGGGTAGTATAGTTCTCTGAATATAATATATCTAGACCCACCCTTCCCCTCCCCCAGGGGACCAGATGAATATTTGACACGCACATCTCCCTCCTTTCCCGAGGCTGTGATGGAGAGAGACCCTGGCACCATGGTGGGGAGGCAGGGGCTCCTGGTCAGCCTTGAGGCACCGATGCCCAAGCTGGCCCTGGGCCACTGGCCAGCCCAAGAAGCTCATGAGATGAGGAGGTCTGAGGGGAGCTGGAGCCAACATCCTGTCCCCCACCCTTGGGTGGGCCTCAAGCTTACAGCCCTCCAGGATCAGGCTCCACCCACCCCTGCCCCTGTCCCATTCATCTGCTCATCCACCCCTGCACTTCAGGAATAGAAGTGGGAGGAGCCATTGAGGATGTGGGAAGCGACACTGGTGCTACGGCTCAGAGGCCCAGGCACTGCAGCGGCAGGGGGGCCCACGTTGTCACTGCCACTGCCCCCCGAGGCTGCCCGCCGCAGGGGCTGAGGGCTGTTTCTTAGCAGCAACAGGGCTCCACCACGGGGTGTCCCACTCTGTGTGGGGGGCCCCAGCCAGTTTGGGGGACCTGGAGGAGCCAGCAGAGAGGGCTGACGCCAGGCTGGGGGGGGCATGCCCGGTGGAGGAGGACCATGGCTCCAATGTGCCCCCGATCGGGGAACAGGACGCGAGGGCCAGGCAGGGGCAGGGGGTGGAGCAGGATAGCCCTGGGCAGCAGCCTCGGCTGGGATGCCCCCCAGAGCCATACTGGAGAAGCCCAGCCTCATGCTCTCAGCATCGAAAGCCTCGATCTCACGGGCCTGCCGCTCGAGCAAACTCCGGATTCGCTCAGAGCGCCCTGTCTGCAAGGCCAGCAGCTCCTCTTCCACCTGGGACACCCAGAAGAGAGGTTAGCAAGTCCAGGGGCAGGAAATGGGGAGCCTGCCCTCCCCAGTGCATCCTGGTGTCAGAGTCCCCTTACCCGCTGCTCCAGCAGTGCCCGCCTCAGAGCCACCCTCTGCTCCAGCTCCCGCAGCTCCCGCTCATGCTGACTCTCTGTGCGGATCTTGATCTTGCTCTGGTAGGCATTGAGCAGCTCCAGCTCCTGTTGAAGCTGCTGCCGAAGGGCCTGGAATTCTGCCTCCTGGGTCTCATCAAGCCGCAGCTGGCAAACAGGAAGAACTCATTTGAGGGGCCTCCTCCCCTACCCCCACAATCCTCCCCTGCCCCAGGCAGGCCTGGGCCCTAAGGTTTCAAGAAGCAGCCAGTCTCAACATCTATCAGAATGAAAGGTCGTCATACCCTGTGACACAGCAATTACACTTCCAGGAATTTATCCCCCAGGTATACTTGCACATGTGCTCGGAGGTGTTCACCGAAGCGTTGTAATAGCAAAATACTGGAAACCACCTAAATGTCCACCAATAAGGGATGGGTTAAAGAAATTATGGTACATCCATGCCACGGAAAATTCTATGCTGTTTCAAAAACGAGACAGGTGTACTGACATGGAAAGATGTCCAAGAAATATTAGGTGGAAAAAGAAGAGAACAGTATGTACAATCCGATCCCATTTCTATTTAAAATTGTATGTAATTTTCCAAATATGCATAGGGAAAAAACCTAAAATACAATTATTAACAGTTACCTCTGAGAGGTGGGACTGGATGAGAGAATGGCAATGAATAGGGGCACTCTGATGTTTTACACTATATGTAGTTTTTAACTGGCCCATTCCAGTGTTGTGTGATCTCTGTTAGAGAACAGCGATCTTCAAAATCCTCCAGAAGTCTGAGTAAATCGGCCCAAGGGCCACAATCATTTTAATTTGCCCCCTGTTAACACATTAAACTAACTCAGGCCCAGGAAAAAATTATAGCCACTCTTTCCTTGGTGGTTCTTGGTAGTCAGGCTGGCTTTGTCAAGACCTTAAGAAAATACTTGAGAGAGACAATAAAACCATGGCAGAAAATACTAACAGTGGGAAAGTATCCAAGTTTCCCCCAAGAACAAAAGCCCCGTCTTTGTCCACACTCCCCCATTCCCACTCCCCATAACTAAGCCGGGTGTACAGAGGCCAACCTCCACCATGCTCCCTCCCTGGACCCCAGGCCTCACCGCCTGTGAGCTGAGCATCTCTGAGATGGACTGGTCGTACTGCTCGGCTAGGATTGCCAGCTTGCGGGTCTGTTCTTCTTTGAGCCGCTTAAGGAGGCTCTTGTGCTGAGCTTTGGGTGTGGTCTCCAGCAAGTGTGCCCGCAGGGCCTTGTACTGCCGAGTCTGGATCTTACACGTCTCCTGGAACTGCTTCTTGATCTGCAGCTCCTTAGACTATGCAGTGGACGGACCAAGGGGAGATGGGGGCAAGGGAGAGGAGGAGGAAGAAGAGGAGGAGGAGAAACAACCAGGGGAGAGGGGGAGGAGAGAGGGAGAGAGGGAGAGAGAGAGAGAGAGAGAGGAGACAGAAGCAGAGACAGGGAGAGGGAGAGAAACAGAAAACATGTTAGACAGAGGGGGCGGGGGGAGCTGTATACAGACAGACACGGAGAGATGGGATTGTGTTGAGAGAGATCAGGAAGGTTCTCAATGGGCAAGAGATACAAAGTAAACAAGACAGGTTCCAAGAGCATGTTCAGAGTTGGGTAGAAAACTCACAAGAAACAGCAGGAGAGTTCATGGACAGGGAACTGAAAATCTTTAGGGTACTGAGTGCACACAAGAAGCTCTGACCATGCAAAGAGGGAGAAAATACAACCCAGAGACAGAAGCCAAGTGAGCAAAGAGTGAGAGAACCAAGTCACACAACACACCCATGGAAGAGAGCAACACAGCTAAGGAAAGACAGAAGGAGTCCCAGGTTCAGCACCTCAGGGTGGGAGGGAGAGGAGGAGGATAATCTCCGAGCTGCGAAATGGATAAGGAGTAGCCCCATCTTGGGCCACACCAGGGGAAGGGGCAAGGAGGTGTCCAGAAAGGGCCTGACAAGTTCAATGGGCCAGCAGCTGCTACCCTGACCAGATCTCCACATTCCAGCCCGGCCCCTTATGTACTCAGCTCCCACTCCAAGCCCACAACCAATCCCATTTCCATGCCCCGCCCCCACTCTGCCTGTCACCCCCGCCCCCCCAAAACTCACCACCCCCTACTGTAGAGGGTTTGTAGTCCCACCCCAAGCCCTCTAGGGTAAAGCCTAATGCCAGGAGAGAAATTCAGCTCCCAGATAGAAGGGAACCACATAGGGAATGGGTTGGGAGAAAAGGCAGGGGATGAGGACAAAAGGACCTGGAACCTAAGGACTCTCTGGAAAGAATCCACCAACAGGGGAACTATGGGACCAAGAAGTTCTGTGGAAGCTCAATAGGGGCTCAGACCTCTGAGCTAGTGGTGGTCATGGTGCAACGAAGCTATGAAGGCAGAGAGGATGAGGCTGAGGAGTGAAAGGAGTTAAGATAACGTAGATGGGGGTGAAGAGGTCATGGAACTGGGGGCCAAGGGTCCAGATTGGGGGCATACCCGGGATGCTAGGCGGCAGGACAAAGCAGACAGAGGCAGCCTGGGCCAAAGGTACAGTTCCGCTCAGATATTTTATTTGTGTTTGTCTTTTTCTTTTTTTTGGTGGGGGAAGGGGGACAGGTTGGAAGGGAGACAGAAAAACAAAATCAAAGAGAGAAAAAAAAAACATGACTTCCCACCCACCGCCACCCCTGGCCCCAGGCCTGAGTTGATGAGGGTGAGGATGAGCACACACACAGCGGGAGAACAGCAATAATTTAGGTGGGGGAGGAGTGTCAGGAGAACACAAAGTGTAACTTCTGGACTCCACGGTGGAGGAGGCTGCCTGTCTAGAGGTCCAAAGGACTGGGGTGAGGTGGGAAAGCATACTAAGGAAGGAGGGGTGAAAGGGAGGAGAGGATTGGGACTGGAGAAACCTCACTGAGTAGTGGGAGATAAAGTGCTCGATGCTCTAGATTCGGGCTGAGGAGGAGCCAGAGTTGGTTACCTCCAGGGAGGCAGGGCCCGGGACTGGCGGGTTCGGGATCGCCGCCCAGTTAGAGTCCCAGGCACTGGCTGGCGAGAGGCAGGAGGCCCTAGCCGGCGCTGGCTGCGTGGCAGCAGCCGAGGGATACGGCTGGGCCTTTCACCCCGGAGCAGGCCCCAGCTGGCCAGTGTGTGGATGGCCCAGGGGGGCAAGTGGGAGGCTAAACCCTGGCTGGCCCGTGCCAGGCGCCAGTTCCAGCCCTTGCACAGGGTCCAAAACCTCGCCAACAGGGCTAGTGGGTGTCGGGCAGTGCGGGGATTACCCCGCCGGGGCCCAGGGATAGGCAAACGGCTGCGGAAGCCATCCTTGTTGGTTTTGGGGTAGAGTGCAAACAGGCCCCGGTCCCCCACAGCCCCACAGCCCTGTAGGGCACGAAAGGCCATGGGCGATAGGCGCAGGAGAGCCCGCAACCAGAGTCGAGAGATACCCCGGCGCATCCGGGGGCCCTGCTGCCGCACCCATTTGCCCCCAGCTGCGAGAGCTGCCAGAGGTAGAGCCAGGCCTGGCCAGGCTAGGAGCCAGGCAGCCCCAAGGCCCAGAGGGACACCCAGAAGGCCACGGCGCCAACTCAGACCCAGGACGGCCCCCAGTGCGGTGCCCTGGGCCAGGAGTAGGAACAGACTGGGGGGCAGGTGCAGAGCTGTACAAAGAAGTAGGTAGGAGGCCCCCAGGCCCACCAGCCCCACCTCAAGGGCCAGCAGTGAGGCCTGCAGGCCACCGCCACCCTGCGCTGCCAGCAGTGGGAGGAGCAGCAGGAGTAGGAGGGGCAG